AGTGTCTGTGAAGACAATTTACATAAAGTTTTAATTGACTAGCAGATTTACACTAAAACAATTAATATATTATTTGCTCTTGATTTCTATGCGTGATAGATGACTCAGGCTGCTCCCTTGTCAACTTTCTCATGGTAGAAATCTTGAGCTCATAATCCAATTGTTTATAGAAACACAATTTTAAACCAGTGAGTGCGTTTATTTTCTTTGGGCTATTTTCTAATAGTTCACAATGATCTGTGTAGTTTCTTCCAATCTGAAAAATTGTGTGCACATAAGATCCCGCCCAAAACCAACATTGTTCCCAGAGGCTGCCTTGGTTTTGGTTGGCACCAATAAATTGAGACTTCTGGAAGAAACCCGAAGGTGACTCAGCATCAGTTCCCATGGCAACTCTCTCTGTGCATGCATGCATGTTTAGAAACCATTAATGAACTAGAATGCGTAATAATAACTAAGAATATATTAATTAATATTTAAGAAGAGGCCTCCAGTCACCTAGTGGTGGTTTTTGGGAGGGGCCTCTGGCAAATAAAGGTCTAAAATATTGCATTACTATAAAGGTTTAACACTAGATTAAAAATGCTACTGACTACAGAGTAANGAAAAATTGTGTGCACATAAGATCCCGCCCAAAACCAATATTGTTCCCAGAGGCTGCCTTGGTTTTGGTTGGCACCAATAAATTGAGACTTCTGGAAGAAACCCGAAGGTGACTCAGCATTAGTTCCCATGGCAACTCTCTCTATGCATGCATGCATGTTTAGGAACCATTAATGAACTAGAATGCGTAATAATAACTAAGAATATATTAATTAATATTTTAAGAAGAGGCCTCCAGTCACCTAGTGGCGGTTTTCAGGAGGGGCCTCTGGCAAATAAAGGTCTAAAATATTGCAGTACTATAAAGGTTTAACACTAGATTAAAAATGCTACTGACTACAGAGTAACATTAACATGGTTTAGTAAAAACTGTTTCAGCTTCTGTTTAAAAATCAGTTTTGGCAGGAGTCTCTTGAGCTCACTCAGCAGTGAGGCCCAATCTGTAAAATTTTACTTTATAATACCTTTTGTTTTCTTGGCCTGCTAACTTTGGGCACAATCAAACCAGACCCAGGATTCTCTGGAC